GAGCGCCGTGGCATAGTGCCGTGGCACAGGGGGAGTGCCATGGCATAGGGGGAGTGACCTGGCATACAGGGAGTGCCGTGGCATAGGGGGAGTGCTGTGGCATAGGGGGAGTGCCGTGGCATACGGGGAGTGCCGTGGCATACGGGGAGTGCCGTGGCATAGGGGGAGTGCCGTGGCACAGGGGGAGTGCCGTGGCATACGGGAGTGCCGTGGCATACGGGGAGTGCCGTGGCACAGGGGGAGCGCCGTGGCACAGGGGGTGCCGTGGCTGGATGAGGCCCACTGAAGGTTGCTCCCCACAGAGGTGGTTTGGGCAGGCACCACCTTCAGAAATGTGAGAAATCCAGCACTTGGCCTGGGGGGTTGGGTTTTGGAAACTGTCTGTTTTGGTTTTCTTGTCTTTTTTTTCCCAAGACAGAGGCTCGCTCTGTCATGGTGCCATCTTACTGCAACCTCTGCCTCCCGGATTCAAGTGATTCTCCTGCCTTGGCCTCCAGAGTAGCTGAGATTACAGGCATGCTCCACCATGCCTGGCTAATTTTTGTATTTTTTTTTTTTTAGTAGAGATGGGATTTCACTATGTTGGCCAGGCTGGTCTTGAACTCCTGACCTTAAGTGATCCACCTACCTCGGCTTCCCAAAGTGCTGTTTTGGTTTTCTTAAAAGTATCAGGGCTGGCCATGGAAACTCCCGGGTGAGAAGGCAGGATCTGGCATGGGTGGTCCCTGGGACCCGGCTGCTCTTCCTCAGAACCACCAGGGCCGGGACTTCTCCTGCATCCCAGGCGATCTTGACGCAGGGATGACAGCAGGGACTCCTTGTCCTTGGGAGGCTCCTGGGCCTGGGTGCCCACAACCTTGAGGCCCCAGCCCCAGCCTCCTCGCTCCTCGGACTCCTCACGGGCAGGGCAGGGCAGGGCAGGGCCTGGGAGCACAGGCTGGACCCAGAGGAGTTTGGGTCACAACTCAGCCTGGGACCAGCCACTCCTACCGCCAAGGCCCCCACTCTGGGAGCTGTGCCCCCTCACAGCCCACACCCCAGGCTCTGTGCCTGCCTTCCAGCCACTGCCTGGGGGGCGGGAGACAGCTACCCTTGCTCTGGTGGCTTCGTCCGTCCCCTGACCTGCCACCGTTGGTGCGGGATGTGTGTCTCTGGCTGAGGAAAGTTAATCTGGATGCGCAGTGGTCAGTGGTCACATGCCATCAGCCCGAGGACAGGGCTCAGTTTCCCCATCTGCAAAGGGAAGGCCCCTCCCTGGTTTCCAAGGACCTACAGACCCCACCTCTGGTGATCCCTTGGGGCTTCTGGGGCCACATTCAGGGGGTTGGAAGGGTAAGGGGCCGTCAAGAGGGAAGGGAGGGGGCTTTTCTCCCTGGGAAGGGGCCGGGAGGGAATGCTCCGGTCACCCCTGTCCTGCAGGGAGGGGTGGGTTCCTGTAGGCTGGGGGAGTTTCTAGACCCAGAGTGTGGGCCACAGGGCAGAGGCTTGGAGGGGAAGAAAGTGTGAAGGAGGCGGAGGGAGGGCACCAGGCTGGAGACCCCTCCTGGGCTGGCACCTGCCTGTTGAGGGGGCTCCTGGCACTGCAGCCACCACCTGCGGGACCTGGATAGATGCCTGGCCTGCGGAGGTGCTGGGTGGGGCTCCTGGGAGGGACTGCAGAGAGCATGCCTAGGGGAAGATGATGCTTCCTGGTGGGAGGAGTTGGGCCAACGCCCAGACTGGGTCCTGGCAGGGGGCCATGCACTTAACCTTCCTTTCCCTCCCCAGGAATTAGCCATTCGGGATTGTCTGGCTGAGGGCAAAGCTGGTTGAAGCCGCAGGTGAAGACCCTTGCACTCCCCACCCACCACCTCCACTGCCCCCACTCCCACCCCTGTTCGACCTGAAAGACATTCACAGAGCAGGAAGCCACTGCTGGAAAGCGTTTATTTTCTGTTGCCCTGGCCTGTGGTGCTGTTGCCAAGAGCTGGGCTGGAGGGGCTGGAGGCCGGGCTCTCCGAGAGGCCCCAGTCCAGCCAGGTCTTGTGGGCTCTGGGTCTTGGATCAGGGGGTCACTGACGTGCTGCAGGATTGGCACGCTTGTTGGCAGGTGGCAGGGCACTGGGCAGGTGGGTGGCAGGAGCGGCTGGGTCAGCACAGCGGCCTGGACTGCCGGCCCCTCCCCTGCCCGCGCTGGGCAGCAGAGCGAGATGAACTCCGCACAGCCTGTTCGCTGAGCACTCTAGGGTCTGAGGCCGTGGACACCGTGGGCACCCCGTGTGTGTGCACGCATGGCCGTGTGCGAGTGTGCGTGCATGCAAGAGAGAGCTAGTGTGAGGTCAGTACGACTGTGCCTGCTGGGTGGAATTCATGACCGTGGAGAGGATCCTTTCAAGCTTCTGGAGGAGCCCGTGGTGCCTGAGTCGCAGGAGGGTCCTCACAGCAGCGCCAAGAGGAGGGGTCCCAAGCTGAGCAGGAGCCCCCCGGCCAGCGCCCCGAGGCTGCGCCTGGCACTGGCTGCCCCGTTGCAAAGGTCCTTGCTGCAGCAGGCCAGATTCTTCACCTCCGAACTCAGAACGTTCTCCACACCCCCGGGGATCTGGGGCAGATTCTCCGGCCGGAACGCCTGTAGGGTCTTCGAGGCGTCCTCGCAGGAGGGAGCACAGCTCTTGACTCCCAAGGTAACCTTCTCTGTAGGCCAGAGAGAAGGCGCCTGGCCTGGAAGCCCTGGTCCCGCTGCCCTCCCGTCCGGCCCCTCGCCCCCTCTCTCCACCTAGGCTCGGCCCTTGGTTCTCCGCTGCCGGCCCTATCAGAAGCGCACCCGCCCAGCCCCAAGTCCCTGCTCCGGCCCCCACCCCCCGTACGCCTGGTGACACCGAGACGGGCGGGGTGACGCACACCGGCCTCTGCCACAGCCCCTCTCCTTCCAGGAGGTCGGGGAGCCCTGGGGCAGAGTCCCCGCCCCGGTCCCCAGAGCTCTTTCCAGATCCCCCCGCGCGCCCCGGGCCTGCCAGCACTCACCACCGCCACTTTTCGCGGTCATGACCAACTCGCCGGTAAAGCAGACCCCGGGGCACTGGGCGGCCTGGCACTGGCTGGCTTCGTTGACGTTAGCGCAGTTGTAGCACTGCAGGCTCAGGGCTGGGGGTGCAGACACAGGCAGGCTGGGTCCGGCCCGGGCAGGCAGAGCCACCCGCCGGGCAGCCCCTCCAGGCCCCTGCTCAGGGGCTGTGGCCTCTTCTTGCCCCCGGGTCCGGGAGGACGGGCCCCTCACGACCTCACGAGACCGAGTCGGCCCCCAGGACAGCCCCCGTGCCCGCGCACTCACCCCGCCTGGAGCACAGCAGGGCCGCCAGCAGGAAGAGACAGCCGGCTTTCATGGCTCCGGGCGGCTCCCGCAGCGCGGCCCAGCTCCCCGCGCGCTCCTCCGGCCGGCAGCTCCCACCTCGTGGCCTCCGATTGGCCCCGGCGCACCCGACTCTGGAGCCTGTTCCCCAGCGGGCCCAAGCATTTGTACTGAGCCCCCCCTTTCCCCGCCCGGGGAATGCAGGGCGGGCCCGTGGGTCTCCGCTCTGAGTTTCCGGGGTCAGTCCCGCCCTTACCAGGAAGGTGTTTGTCCTCTAGGCGCCTGCGAGGAAGCAGAGTGGCAGGGCAGAGGGGTGCCCGAGGGGCGCAGGGCAGAGGAGTGCCAGAGGGGCGCAGGGCAGAGTTCCCGAGGGGCGCAGGGCTGAGGGGTGCCCGAGGGGCGCAGGGCAGAGGGGTGCCCGAGGGGCGCAGGGCAGAGGGGTGCCCGAGGAGCGCAGGGCAGAGGGGTGCCAGAGGGGCGCAGGGCTGAGGGGTGCCCGAGGGGCGCAGGGCAGAGGGGTGCCCGAGGGGCGCAGGGCAGAGGGGTGCCCGAGGGGCGCAGGGCTGAGGGGTGCCCGAGGGGCGCAGGGCAGAGGGGTGCCCGAGGGGCGCTGGGTGGAGTGCCAGAGGAGGGCAGGGCCTGGCTATCTTCCTGGCAGTGACAGTGCTTGGGGCCACCTTCGTCGTGGTGTGGTCAGGGGTCCCGCCCAGGTTTTCCCTCCCTGCCCTGCCACCAAGATCCAACCTCCCTTCTTCCCAACACACAGGCAAACAAGGCGGGGCTTTGTGCGAATCCCAGGAGGCCAAGCCGCTCTCACCAGTCCAGACGCGGCCTTCCCACTCCCCAGCCCCACCCCTGCCCCGCTGGCGGCTGCTTCTGGGTGTTTGTCACTGTGTGTGCCGAAGGCCAGCCTGCCCTGCGGCCGGTCCTGGGCGGCTGCTGGTGCGCCTCGTCCTGGCAGCGCTGCAGTGAGGAGCACCCCTGCCTGGCTTTATGGATGTGGCCTCGAGGCCCCTCCGAGGCAAAAACACGAGTCAGAGAACACTTCCAAGGTGCTGCTGGGCACACCGGCTGAGGGAGCCGCCGGGGTCCCTTTCTGCTCCGCTCCTGGCCGCCACCTCTGTCTCCCGAGTTAGATGGTGCCTCCGCGATGCAGGTAGCCGGTCCCAGGTTTCTTGAGACGTCAGGTCAGCCGGCAGTGGGGCTGCCGTTTCTCTTGGGCAGACCTTTTGCAAGGCTGAAAGGGTTCCGGGGCAGACTGGCCCCCAGGGATGACCCGAGTCACTGCGCCTCCACCCCGGCGCTCTCTCTCTGTGGGTTTCTCTCAGGTTTCCGTGGCACCAGCAGCAGCTGTTCTCACCACCTGGGTCTGCAGTTTGCTTATCGCTTTGAGGGAGGGAAGGGACATCGCTATGGGCTTAATGCTTTGTTTCTTTTGAGATGGAGTCTCACTCTTGTCGCCCACGCTGGAGTGCAGTGGGGTGAGCTCGGCTCACTGCAACCTCCACCTTCAGCGATTCTCCTGCCTCAGCCTCCTGAGTAGCTGGGATTACAGGCACCTGCCACCAAGCCCATTTAATTTTTGTATTTTTAGTAGAGATGGGGTTTCCCTATGTTGGCCAGGCTGGTCTTGAACTCCTGACATCACGTGATCCACCCATCTTGGCCTCTCAAAGTGTTGGGATTACAGGTGTGAGCCACTGGGCCTGGCCAGCTTAATGCTTTTTGACATGAGTGACTCCATTCTGAGACATCAGGCTCACAACTGTTATGGTAGATCTCTCCCTGGCGCTGTCCCATCTCTCCGTCTGTCTCTGTCTGCTTCTCCCCGCATGCCTCATCCACCCTCTGTGCCCCCCACCTGCCCCCTGCCTCTGCCTCCTCTCCTCACGTCCTGTGCAGCCTGAGGCTCTGGCCTGTGAAGGGAGAAGGGCAGGGTGCTGGCATCTACGGCTCCTCCCCAGGGACCATCCCCTTCTCTCATGCATTCCCTCGGCCTAGCAGGGACTCCTCCTTCAATTTCCACCAACCACCCCAGCTTTCAGAGTCTGGAAGCCTTGGAGGGTGGTGCCTCAGACGTTCCAAACCAGCCTACGCAGGCCTCAGGCTCCCAGGCATCCCAGGCAGCCTTGGGGCCCAGAGAGGCAGGCGCCTGCTGAGGCAGCACAGCAAGGGGCGGGGAGCACACAGCCAGGCCCCCAGTCAGACCCTGTGCTCCCAGACGGCTCTTTTTCCCAGGCCAGAGGAAGTGCCCCGGGGCAACTATCTCAACTGCCCTCTTCCCCAAATATGGCGCTTTCAACACCTGTTCTCAATCCCAGAAATTATAAACTGAGAAATGGCAGAGCTGCTATTAGAACCCAGGTCTCCTGGCCCAGGCCCTGGTCTCTGTCCAGTTCCAGCAGACACAAGAGAGCTGCATCGCAGCCCACAGGCTCGCGCCTCAGCCACGGCGAGTGGGGGGCAGTCAGGTGGGGACTGGAGTCCTGCCAGCAGCCTGTGTCCAGGGGCCCCTCATCCTCCGCACAGCCCACGGCCTCCCCAGCCTTCGCCCCGTGGTCTTGCTGTTGAGGAAGTGTGTTGTATGCACAGCTGCAGAGGGCAGCGCAGAGGGGCATGGCAGTCGGTCACACAGGCATGGGTGTGCGTGCAGAACCAGAGGACTCCTGGACTTGAATGCCAAGGGGATAGTGTCCTAAGACAGAGAGCCAAGATGAAGGGCACACTCGAGATGAAGGCCAAGGACAAGATCGAATCCAGGGTGAGAACAGCCACATCACCTCTAGAGGAGGAGGATCGAATCCAACCCCATCAGCCAAGACCGAAAGAGCAAAGACCTGCAGGCAGAGGAGAGAACACTGAACAGAGGGGCTCCGAGAGCAGAGGTGCCCAGGGGAAGCCTCGGACAAGGCTGGCAGCAGCAATGCCCAGCAGAGATGAAGGCCAGACCAAAGCCAAGGCTAAGCCAGGAAAGGTGAGCGCACGGAGAGGCTGCACAGGCTCGCTGGGTTCTGGGCCTCCGAGACAGACCCCGGGGGTGATTTGGGCCACACCTGGGGTCAAGCTTCTTGGTCTAAGGGTCCAAGTTTCTCATGAAGTCACATCACCCCGGTGCGTGTTACCCTCATCTAACTTGGGACGGGGCCAGAAACCTTGGAGTTGACTTTTGTGTGTGTGCCTTTTGTAATTTTTTTTTTTTAGACGGAGTTTCACTCTTGTTACCCAGGCTGGAGTGCAATGGTGCGATCTCGGCTCACCGCAAACCGGTGCCTCCTGGGTTCAGGCAATTCTCCTGCCTCAGCCTCCCGAGTAGCTGGGATTACAGGCGTGCGCCACCATGCCCAGCTAATTTTTGTATTTTTATTAGAGACGGGGTTTCACCATGTTGGCCAGGATGGTCTCGATCTCTAAACCTCGTGATCCACCCGCCTCGGCCTCCCAAAGTGCTGGGATTACAGGCTTGAGCCACCGCGCCAGGCCTGTAATGTATTTTTATTGCAGTAAAATATACAGAACATGAAAGTTGCTATTTACCCATTTTTAAGCATGAAGTTCAGGGAGGTTAAGAGCGTGTGTCTGATTTCACTCACACGATGTTGCCAGGTTCCCACCGTGCGGCGGTGCCAGGGTTTCCCTCCTCTGTGAGGCTGAATTGTATACACGTTTGTTCCACGTTTTGCTTACTCACTCCTGGACTGAGGACTTCACGTTGTACGGACATTAGTGCTGCCCAGAGCAATCCAGGGTTCCGTATCACCCTCTTCAGAATCGCAGGCAACGCTTCGGCCACTTCCACCTTTTGGCTGTTGTGATTAATATCGCTGTGAACATGGGGGTACAAGCATGTGTTTGAGCCCCTGCTTTCAGTTTTTGGGGTAGACGCTCAGAAGTGCAATCTTTGCATCCTATGGTAATCCTATGTTTAAGTCTGTGGGGAGCCGCCATCCCGGTTTCTATGGCAGAGCCCACCCTGTGCCCAGGCTGCATGGTGAAGCCCATTGCTCTAGGCTACAAACCCAGCCTTCAAGTTACTGTACTGAACGCCGTAGGTAACTATGACACAATGGCACGTGTTTACAAAGCTAAACACACATAGCTAAACACAGAAACAGTACGAATACAGTGGGAAAGATAAAAAATGCTACACCCATGGAAGGCGTTTAGCATGAGTGGGGCTGGCGGGAGTGACGGTCGCTCTGGGTGAGCCAGTGAGTGACAGGCGACCATGGCCTTCTGTAGATTTTACAACGCTGCACACGTAGGGTTCGCTGAAATCATTTACTGGACATGATCAGACGTGCTGGGCTGTGTTTTTGTACAGCAGGCAGTGCGGTAGGTCTGTTCACAGCAGCGTCGTCACACACACGAGTAACGGGTTGTGCTGTGACGTGACAGTGGCTGTGGGGCGTCCAGTTTCTCCGCATCCTTGCCAACGCTTGCTATGGCCTGTGTTTTTGACAGTAGCCATCCTAACGGGTGGTTTTATTTGCATTTTTAGCACAATGAGTTGTGCTGTGACATCAGAACAGCTGCCATGTCAGTAGACGGTAGGAATTTTTCAGCTTCATTATAATCTTATGGGCCCACTTTTGCATATCTGGTCCGCCATTGACTGCGAGGTTGTTATGTTATGTATAGAGGTCTATCTATCTACCTGTGCATAGGTTTATTTTAAAGAAATGGCTCATGCAGATGTGGGGGCTGGCAAGTTTGAAGCGTGCGAGGCGTGCGGGAAGCTGGAGACCCAGAGAAGGGTTGATGTTTCAGTCAAGGCAGCCTGGAGGCAGGATTCCTTCTTCTTCGGGGACCTCAGTCTTTTTCTCTTAAGGCTTCTACTGATTGGCTGAGCAGCCACCCACAAAACAGAAGTCTATAATTTACTTTACCGGAAGTCTAAAATATATGTTTCCAGTAACATCTAGACTAGTATTTGACCAAATATCTGGGTAATGTGGACCAGCCAAGCTGACCCATGAAACGAACACTTGAGCTTCCTCACACTGGCGTGACTCACTGTACCCTGTTGGTCACGTGGTGGAACTCAGCCTCTTCCTCTGAGAGGCTGGGGCGGGAACTGAAAGTCCCAACCCTCTAATCCCATGACTGATGCGTCTAGCGTGGCCATTCCTTCCTTGAAACAAAGAGTTTCAGCTAGGGAAAAAGACCAGAGACATGTATCACAGTGCCTCCGTATTTCAAGTGCGCTCTTGTAGACGGCCCACATTTGGGTCTCGCTGTTTTCACGTGGTCTGATGATCTCCGCTTTTAAAACCGGAACCGTCCAGTCTGTTTGCAGTCAGTGCGTTCACTCGGGTGGCTGTGGGGCGTCCGCCCTCCTGGCATGGTTCCCATCGAACTTTTCTTGTCTTGTCCCTCCAGGCTCCTTTTGTTTTTCCTTTGGTCATGTTTTTCTGCTGTTTTATATTTGCTGCCAGCTGACTAGATGGCGCCCACAGGATTAAGGGCAGATCCGCCTTCCCCAGCCCACTGACTCTAATGTTAATCACTTTCAGCAACACCCTCACAGACACACCTAATGTTAATCGCTTTCAGCAACACCCTCACAGACACACCTAATGTTAATCGCTTTCAGCAACACCCTCACAGACACACCCAGGATCCGCACTCTGCATCCTCCGTGCGATCAGGTTGCACTCAGCATTCACCACCACACCACTTAACCCTCCCTTCCCCTGTGCCCTGTACTCTCTGCTGTCTACGCACGCCTCTCGAATGGAGCTCACAGCAGCTGAATTCCACCCACCCACCCTGCCTTTTGTGCTACTATCAATTCTTCATTCTCACAGGAAGTTTAAATTCTACTTTACTGTATTATTTTTATAACTTTCGAACAGCCAATTGCCTTTTGAGAAAATTTCATAAAATGAAGAAACATGGTATTTTATATGTATGTGCGTATGTATCGTTTTCGGTGCTTTTTATTCTGTCAAGATCTCTTGGGGCCAGGAGTTTGAGACCAAGCTGGGCAAGGTAGTGAAACCTTGTCCCTAGAAAAATTAAAAATTAGTGGAGCATGGTGGCACCTGCCCATGGTCCCAGCTACTCAGCAGGTGGAGGCAGGAGGAAGGCTTGAGCCCAGAGGCTGGAGGCCAGATGAGGAGCGATTGTGTCACTGTACTCCAGCCTTGCCCACAGAGGGAGACCTTGTCTTTAAAAAAACAATAAAATAATTATTTTAAGTTTTTCATTTTATCCTTAAAAAAAAAAAAACAAAAGATAGGGTCTTGCCATCCTGGCCAAACCGGTCTTGAACTCCTGGGCTCAAGCAATCCTCCTGCCCCAACCTCCCAAAGTGCTGGGATTATAGGTGTAAGCCACCATGCCCAGCCTCTTCCTTGGTTTTGAAGGCTATTTTGTTGAATACAGAATTTTGGATAGGCAGAATCTCCCCCCAGCACTTTAAAGATGTTGTTTTATCACCGCGGGTCACCACGGTTTCTTACGAGCAGGCACCTGTCATTCTCATCACCGCCGCCCCTAAGGTAAGATGTGCTTTGTGCCGGCTGCTTTGAATAGTTTGCCCTCATTTTTGGTTTTCAGCAGTTTAACCGTAGTGTGGTTAACTGTGAATTTCTTTATGTACATCCTGCTTTTGATGTTTGTTGAGCTTTTTCAATCTGCAAGTTGATGCGTTTCACCAAGTTGAAAACGTTTCAGTCATAATGTATTTAAATGTTTTTCTTGACCACTTAAAATCAGCAGATAAGCCCATTCTGTCAGTTTTCTCACTTAATTATTGTAATTATCAGTTATTCCTGAGCCTCTCCATTTCTTAGATTCCAAATTTGTGGAAATTTTCTTATAAGCATTTTGTTTTTAGCTTCTACCTTCTTTATATTGTGGTTGTAGAACCGGACCTATGTGATTTGTGTTCTTGGGAATTCTCTGAGACTTGATTCATCACTTGGGAGATGACCAGCTTTTTTGTTTCATTTGTACAGAAAACAAAATATTGTACACAGTTGTTGATCTTATCCACTTTCATTGGCTCATTTTCTTCGCTGTGCTTTTAAAATCTTAAACCCTTTTTATCCACTTGCCTATTTCTCATTAAAAGAGACCAGTTGAGCCGGGCGCGGTGGCTCAAGCCTGTAATCCCAGCACTTTGGGAGGCTGAGGCGGGTGGATCACGAGGTCGAGAGATCGAGACCATCCTGGTCAACATGGTGAAACCCCGTCTCTACTAAAAATACAAAAAATTAGCTGGGCATGGTGGCGCGTGCCTGTAATCCCAGCTACTCAGGAGGCTGAGGCAGGAGAATTGCCTGAACCCAGGAGGCAGAGGTTGCGGTGAGCTGAGATCGCGCCATTGCACTCCAGCCTGGGTAACAAGAGCGAAACTCCGTCTCAAAAAAAAAAAAAAGAAACCAGTTGATACTTTTCCTGGCATTTGCATTTATTTCCACTTCTCCATGTAATTATGTCGTGATCTTTCTTCCCTCTCGCTCCCACGCCTCTCTTTTTCTCTCTTTCTCTCTCTCTTTCTTCCACAGAGTCTCGCTCTGTCGCCCAGGCTGCAGTGCCGTGGGCTGAGATCGGGCCCAAGCGATTCTCCTGCCTCAGCCTCCCGAGTAGCCGAGATTACAGGTGTGCACCACCACCCCCGGCTAATTTTTCTGTATTTTTAGTGGAGACGGGGTTTCACCATGTTGGCCAGGCTCCTCTCAAACTGGCCTCAAGTGACCCGTTCACCTCGGCCTCCCAAGTGCTGGGACTGCAGGTGTGAGCCACCGCGCCCAGCTTCAGCTTTTCTTCATCTACTTTGAGGCTGCATCCTCAGATCCTCACCTGTTTAGATTGTATGCCTGCCTTGGGAGGTGACATCTTCTCCATTGCTAAATGAGGTTCCACGCCTCTGAGAATGGCTTTCTCATGCTCCTCCATCGATGTTCTGGGCCGTGGAATCAGATTTCCTTTGCTTTATGACTTTGTGGTCTAGCTGCTCACATTTCC